CAAACACACCTTTATTAATAAATAACAAATAAATAACAAAAGCAAAGTCCAGGAATCAAGCAGGGGTCAGTCACCAGAGCGGGTAGTCAGACAAGCCAGGATCAGGAGCACGGAGAGCAGCGGAGTCAGGAACAAGGCCGGAGTCAGGAACCAGGAGCAAACAGGAAACACAGGAACAAGGAGACTTCTGGGGAACAGGAAACCACGCAAGGGCAAGGAGGTTCTGGGATTTGCTGCTTAAATAGGTAGCACTGATTAGCAGCAGGGTTGATTACTACTCTCAGGTGAGTAACCGTGGCAACATGCTGAAGGAGCTGATAGTAATTGCAGCTGAAAACTCTTTCACTGACACAGAAAGGGTTGCTGTTTAAAACAGCAAAGAAACCCTGACACTACTCACCTGAACTTGTCCCTCGCGAGCGCTACCATGCTTTTCCGGCGGATGCTCTTCATTTGATGGCCATTATCCAACGTCACTTCTGTACTCTTCCACACGCACAAGAGCACAGCACTGAGTTCTATGGAGGATCCTGTGAGAATGTGGGATCCTCCATAGATAAACCAATTCCTTGCAGCCGTCACTATAGATGGCTATGGGGATTGACACTTCTAGACTATGAAAGCTCTGTCCAGCATCTAGATGTTTCAGACATAGGAAATATACAGAGACAAAGCAGTCCCTTACTTTGAATCAGTATATGTCTTGACTAGGTTGAAATTTCAGTAAAAGCCCCATACAGTCAGTATGAGTACTTCATAAAGATTAAAACTATCTACTAATTTTTCAGGGGAGGTGACAGTGCCACTAATACATATTGTCATATATCTGGTTAAATATGTGCTCTCAATAAACTGCTAATATATATATTTTAAATCCTAAATTGAGAAATCTCTGAATATGCACTGTAAAAAATAAGTGGGTAATTGAGGACCCACTCACGCGTTCCACCCTTTAATTTTTTGAGAAATACCCATTTTTTTTTCAAATTAAATTACTCCTCTTGCTGCTTCTCCCGTTTTCAAATGCATTACTTTTTTAAAAAATATCCCGTCTGCTTGACTGAGTGTCTGTGTCAGGGTTTCTTTGCTGTTTTAAACAGCCACCCTTCCTTTTTCAGTGTCTGAGGTTTCAGCTGTAATTAACGATCAGCTCCTTCAGCATGTTGCCACGGTTACTCACCTGAGAATAGTAATCAACCCTGCTGCTAATCAGTTCAGCCTATTTAAGCAGCAAATCCCAGAACCTCCTTGCCCTTGCGTGGTTTCCTGTCCCCCAGAAGTCTCCTTGTTCCTGTGTTTCCTGTTTGCTCCTGGTTCCTGACTCTGGCCTTGTTCCTGACTCCGCTGCCCTCCGTTCTCCTGATCCTGGCTCGTCTGACTACCCGCTCTGGTGACTGACCCCTGCTTGCCTCCTGGACATTGCTTTTGGTGATTTCTTTGTTATTTATTAAATAAAGGTGTTTTTGCATCTAGATCTGTCTCTGTCTGGTTCCTGGTTCCTGACAGTCTGCTACCTCCGCAGAGGCACTTGGCAGAAATAAGTTGGTAAATTGAGCACGGTTTTCTCCTACTATGAAAGGTTCACATTAGAAACTGAATGTATGGGAAAGCTTTGTTCTTCTCCAGGTGGAAGAGGTGAGTGGGTCACCAATTGCCCATGCCTACTTACTTTTTCATGAGAAGAGAAAAGTTACTGTCTTTCAATTAAAAAAAAAAAAAACCACCGTCCTATTAGCTTCCCCCTACTAAATCTAGCAGGCACTGTAAGACTCAGTCAGGAACAGTAGCAGGAGTCATTTAATTTGTTTCTTTTTTTTTACGTTGGTGAACAAGGGGCAATCTCCAAAGTACAAGCAGCAGCACAGACGCACACAGCAAAGAAAATAATCTGTCTCTTACTAAAAAGAAAAATCACAATCATCAAAACTATTGTAAATCAGTGAGTCAAAATGGGTGTAAGTGGCACTGCCAGTAACAGCTATGCAAGTGCCATATTTGTTTATTTTTTTATTCGCCGGATGATGAGGGATGTCTGCCTCTGTCAACTTCTGTCATTATCCTCACCATGCTCCCTGCTCTAGCTAATGGTGGTGGTTGTACCAGTAGAGGAGGTGGCACTAATGGTTAGTTGTATCAGATACAGCACCAATGGACTTGCTACCTTACCTAGTATTTTCTTCTGCTTCTTCTCTCAGTAATACAGAGTTGTGATGTCTTTACAGATATTGCTTCATTCTGGTACTAATCAATTGCTTGCAGCACAATTTGCACTTTATAAGTCAGAATTTGTTTTATAACAATAACAATTTAAAATAGTCCCACACTAGGATGGAAGGACAAACATTTCCATTGCTGGCATTGACTAAATATGAAACAATACTCAATGCATGTCTCGTTAACGCAACAATCATTGTTTGCTCAGAGCATTGTTAAAAATATTTGAGGTTATTCAGCAAATTCCAGAAACTTAAAATATCCATTCCAGATATTCACAACACAACCCAACTATTGTGTAAGCTGTTAGGGGTCCTTTTTCTTTATTCATCATCATGATTTACATATATATTACATGGCTCTGATTAGGGCCAAGGAGACCTTCCTGGAACTTCTATCCCACCATACTCTATAAACCTGTCCAGAAAGTAAACCCACCAAGAAGAGAATGTTTTTATCCCAGCATTAAATAACAAATGCAGCATTAATATTTTTCTCTACATATATATATTTGCTCTGTTGGTCTATTGTTATCACTATGTATAATTCCAAAAATCAAAATGGTAGGGAAGGGGATGTATAGTTAGTTATCCTATAAACTACAAAATTAGCATGGGAAGACAAGGATCTGAGTGTCACTAGCCAAGAGAGTTTTGCGTAGTTATAAGGTAGAAAATAAATCAGGAAGGAATTTCCTATTAATGGCTGGCATTCATACTTTATCACTCCACAGAGTGTGTCAGATTGTGTCCAACTAGCTCAATAAACTTTCAGGAAAGCAATGATGTTTTCACTGAGGTAGGAGTCACAGGGTACTTACTTTGGGATTGCAGTAAATAACCTACCCAGCAAATGTTAACAGAAATGTATGTGAGGCAGCCTGAGGGTGCACTGGGGACCTGACTAACTTTATAGTTTACAAGGATAGACAATTTTATTTTTCATTTTTTATCTGCTTTTATTTTTCAAAAACCTTACCCTGTGGAGTTTTTTGAGGATTGTTCATCAGCACATAATTATATATTGTGATTTGAATCTGGAAGCCACAGCATGCATTCGCAATAAAATAATAACACAAATAATAACACCATTAAAGCTAACATTTTTTTTGCACCACAAATATTTTAGATTTTTATACTGCAAAATACAAGTTGGGATAAATTGCCGCTGAATTGCTTGATATCCATGCAAATCAATTATTTTTTGTTCAAGGTACACTTTGCAGTTTCTACAAATTGTCAATGTTTTACGTTGCAGGGTTAAAGCGGTAGGCCCACTGCACCCAGACCCGTTCTCCCCAAAGTCGAGGAGGTAGAGATGGATCCACCACTAAGGGACCTAGGTGCCACTTAACATTTTTTTTCACTCCTTTAACACCCCGTCGGACAATAGCTTTATGCCTGAGGGACACTATAGGGTTAGGAATACACTTTTGATAATTTCTGTAGTTCTCTAATTATAATTCACTTCTTGGTGATTTACAGCAAATTAGTGCCTTAAAAAAAAAAAAAAAAAATATATATATATATATATATATATATATATATATTTATTTTTAATTTATTGTATTTGCATATTTTAGTGCACTACCTAAAAAAATTAATTAAAAAGAATGGGTGAGATCCAATCTCTAAAATCCCTTTAAAACAAGAAAATAGTGATAAAATGAAAATTACTGTCCACTAATACATATTTCAGCAAATCTACCTTGCACAAATGCATTTTAGAAAGCTCAATAAGATAAATGATGTATATTGAGTACTAGTGAATTAAGACATAATGCACTCCTCTCAGTAGATTACTTGGATGCGCTTTTGGGTCAAAAGGTTAATAGTAAACTTGAGAAAAGAGCTAAAATGATCATCTTGGATACCATGTGCAGTCTATTTGCCAAGTTTCAGGCATAATATCATCACAGGCATGTGATAGAATGTATGGGAACTTCAGTACGTTACGCTCCACTGAAAATTCAAAATGTTTATAATCTAGATTATGTTCTTCTAATAAATCTAATGGTGCAAACATGAGTTGCAGTTATTAACCACCTGGTTCACATTTATTCATCTCAGAAAAGGACACTCCAGTGGTCACAGGGAATAGAAAACACATTAAAATAGATTAAAAACAATGTAAAAAGTTACCTTCTAAGTTCTTACTGTTAAGACTCTGCATTTTCCACTGATGTCACTGATTCAGCAATTTTTGCAGATCACTGCAGATATAAGTCCAATGGAGGGACGGCTGGGACTGAAGTACTCTGGGCACCATAATCTATGTATTGAGCTAAGCATTACGGTGCTTGGACTAACAGAGTTATTCTCTAAAATAGAAATTCAAAGTGAATTTCAAATTAAAGGCCAAAAATGAAAAAACTGCAAAAATTCTAGTTTTGTCTACATATGTTAATTTGGAACACTGGAGACAAAGTGAGGAGAATTTTAAAATAAAATAATTAAGATTAAAATCTATTTTAAATTATTTATTCATTACTCATTTTTTCCTGTTGTTGGTACTGGTGTTATTTATCTTTACATCAAAGTCAGCTAATAGCATTGACACAGTGTAAGAATAAGCTAAATGCAGTTCAGTGAGATGAAGCCTTAGACAACAGAGTTTTTTGTATTTATTTTTTTAAACTGATTAAACATAATTTTTTTAAATCAAAACATAAAGAGTAAAATAAACATCCCAAATGTCACATGTATTCTTTAATATTTATAAACAAACAAACACAAATTTGAATGGAAAATATTACACCTTGTTATACTCATTCTATTTTTTTCATATTTAACTAAAACGCATTTAAAGATTTTTTTCCCCCTTTGCTCCGGTTTTACGACAGTTACCGTTATATCTCAACCATTTGGCTTTTTGAATAAAACAACCGAATAGACGAAGAGGATTCCATAGAGTGGTCTTGTGATATTGGAGACATATTCTTGAAAGTTCAGAATTCCAAAATGGTGCTGGACTAAGATGGCTTTCTTTCCACTTCAGGTGAGTGTTCCGTCAAGCTTTTCCCTTTGGGAGGCCTGTAGGAATCCTTATGATATAAAGAAAGTACATTTCTTACTACTAAAAGGAATATTGTATATATATAGGCAGTAAGTCAATAGCAGGTTCTACACACTATTACTGGTCACATCAGGATTAGACTCTGTAAATGTATTTGAGAGTTGGCAGTTGAAGCAGTTACAATAATTGTACACTGTTCAAGAAAGCATGTCACTTCATATAGTATTATTATGATTATTATTACTATTATTAATATTAGTACTGGCATTTTTAAAGCGTCACTATATTCTACAATGACATAGACAATACAGTAGAGACAAACCAATATGTAAGGAAGAGCACCTTGCTGAGATATGGAGTTTACAGTCTTTTAATACAACATGTTAAGTAAATGGCTTGTGATCTTATAATCTAAAGGTTATGAAGGGGACTTGAAACAAGAGGGAGCAAGGGGGATGTGAAGTGTATGGACAGGGAGCCTCATGGTATATGCACAGACTGCTAAGATGTGACGTGATTGAGAAGATAAATAGTGAAGATTCCAAACACCAACAAAGGAAGGTTTTGAAGGTAACACAAACCAGTGTAAGTGCTTAGTGAAAACAATGGCATATATTGCTTAGAGTGGATTGTGATGTGAGGCCTCTAGATGGGATAGAATGAGGAGAAATCATTTATGTGAAGGTATGTAATGTTGGCAGGCTAAGAAACAAAGAAGGGGGGAGGGAGGAATAAACATGTGCTGTTTTAAACTTAAAAAGTTAGCCAAATAGATTCTCCAAAATTCAATAAACACAGGTACTGTAAATACTAACAGACTCCATGTACAGAATACAACAAAAAATGCATGTGCATAAAATTACAATAAAATGACATTTTAAAAAGTAACAATGGAGACAATAGCTACAGAGTAAGACACAGAGTAATGGCATTTTTGTATCTCCAAAACTACCTTCAGTATCCTTAGAGCTTGCTGAATATTGCTGGGAAAATAGCACATATTGCTTGAAGTGGATTGCGATACAGTCAATGTACCATATTTTTTATTCTCCTCTGTCCTTCCACACAAGCAAACCAAGGCTATTTTCTAGCAAACACCTACTACATTGCAAGATCACCAAATCTCTGAGCTTTGTCTGTGAATGCAATCCTTCAGACCATGGTGGATTAACCTGTCTTCTTGGCAGCTTAAGAGAATAGCATCCCTAGCGATTCTTTGGCATTTTACCTGAGTGCAGAAATACAATACAATAGTAACTGTCATATTCCAATGCCATGAGCATTTTATAAGCTATTTGACTCCTGTTGTTAATGTCTTACATTATCTTAGGTAATGACTTTCCTGAAGACTATAAGCCTCTTTTCTCATCTATCAACTTTAAGCATCATCATCATCTCACCAGTCCTGTTTGGCTAAGATGGGTGCATGCGCTGCAGTTGCCGTGAATGCACCAATCAAGAGGGGTTAAAGGTACACAGACCTGCACATCTGAAGACACATTTTGGAAGGTGGCAACAAGCTTTGCCAATGCAGCCAAAGATCCTCGCACTGGTCCTGGTTGTTGTTGTTGTTGTTGTGCAGTAGCAAGATGACATATGAGCTACAATTCTCAAAAAGCATTTCTGAAACCTTGAAAACTCAGTGTAGAGGAAAGGTTCAGCAGTGCAATATACAGTGAAGTGAGCACCATTTTTAATTTTCATTTGAGTAAGTTATTGTTTTTACAGATATCTTAATACATTGACTATGTCGTCCATGAAAAATAATAGGCCATCGCACAACATGGTACGTTTCTCGTTTTGTTTCAGTGAGTCTAATTATTTATCCTTTGTTTACATGTTATTTTTGCATAATTTTTAAAGCACCCTGGATAAGAGCATTATGTATGAACTATTTAAATAAATAAAATACAGTTAAATCAAAAGCAGTTTTTCAGTGAATTCATTTTCTGAATATATATTTTTTTTGGGGGGAGGGTTTTTTGTACATTTTATAATCTCAATAAATATTTGGTTCAAAAAGTTGATTGTCCCCAGTACCTCTTCAGATCACCATAAAATAATCTCTTTCATTCATGAACAAACTGTTTATGCCTGTATCTTCAAGAAACAGATTTTTATTTATTTGTTTATATATTTACATTTTTGAGTTCAGTCACTTCTAAAGAGCACATAGGTAGTGGATCAATACTAAACGGGCTATATTTGAAAGGTAATCATTAGTCTATCATCAGAGAATTCTATTGGCATACATCAAGTATTTTCCTCAAATAGCATAAATATAACTTACAGTTATGTAAGGATCTCTTGAACCCCATAGACAGTTTATATTTTTATATGTATGTTTTTTCATAAATTAACATAAATTCTCAGAATATTGACAGTTACTTGAAAACAGATACATTTGCATTCATTTTGCCAACTTTATTTATTGACTGAGCCAAACTAATCTAAATATTCTTTGTAGGTCTCCTAAAGTATTCTGTTCATGCGGATATCTTTCAAGGATTAGCAAGTAATACTGCTATTCATGCCCCTGTGTTTCTTACCAGGCAATGCTACATTTGAAGTGATCTCCTTCAGATATTGATGAATTATACTTGTCCATCATCTTCAGTGGTCAAGGGTAGGGCTGGCAACTTTTGGTCTGGGGGATAGTTACAAACAAGCCTGTCCACCACTCCAGTCCTCTCCATTATTTCCATTGATGAAAATCATGAAAAATATCAGAAAACAGGGCATCGTTTAGTTTTTTTGTGGGTATTTGAGTATTAGACAAAAATATGGTTGAGTGGGGAGACCTTCAAACGATCGGTAAAAACACATTACTTTAAAGAAGCCTATTAGCTCTTCATTAATTCCTTATCCCCTATTTCCACCTCAAGTGATCATTCCTCCCAAACATCCCCACAATGCCTCAGGCACCTTTGATCATTTAATTCCCTAATTCCCTTTGTGTATTTCTCCCTCATCCTTTTAAATTATAACTTGTTTAGGCAGGCCCCTCTTTGCCTACTGTTTAAGTGTGTGAATCATGTTTTGTTAGAATTTCGTGTTTATACGGTACAGCATGGTGGAATATGTTGGAGCTATATAAATAATTGTTATTATTTAAATCCAGATGATGGCGACTACTCAGTTAATCGGTGGAAATTTCAACAGTTTCTCGAAGACAACTTTAGTTAATGGAGGAGTTGGGCATATAACAGTTGCAAATGCAAATGAAAGGAAGGGGGACAAAAGCATCCATATCGAGTACTGAAATGTCCTGTATCCAGGTATCATTGACCTATTGCTCATCCTCTAGGTGTTACATTAGTGTGACACTCACAGACAGAATGTTGCACTAGACTAGAGAGGAGTTAAAAACGGTTTTAATTGTAGAATTAGCATATAAATATTTAATTAATCTGCAGTATAAATTATATATTCATTGCTTCAGGGCAGATTTATAGTTAAAGTGAACTTTTATGACAGGTTCACTTGAAATTAAAAATGCCATGAAATAATACTCTAATGCGCCCCATCATTCAGTCAGTCAGAGATTCACAAACTGCAATACGGATATCATTTACTATATCATTGTGGATTATTGTGGATTTTAAGGAAAACGAGAAAAAACATGAAACATTTATCAATATAACTGTACTGAACCAAAACCCTTCAGACAGCTCTAAAATGAAGTTGATATTCCCAGCTTCATCAACACATTCCAGATTGATCTCACTTACAGACATTGATACAATGCTTTATTAGAGCCCAATGTTTAAAAACTTGGCATGACAGCAAAGATACACCAAAAATACTATATACTAATAGACATAGAAGCAACACCAAATAGTAAACATTTCTGACCAGCGTGAAATGATCGGAAATCATATACAGTGAAACCTGGTATTCTATATAGTAAATAGCTTTGAAGTGTCACAGCCATAAAGAAGCAAGTTTTGGCAAAAATCGTGTGCCTTGTGAGACCAGATGTATAGTTTGAGGTGAGCGGTATCTGCAAAATTATCTTTTCAATCTTTTGCTCCAGAGAAGTAGCTGTGGGGTGGGACATCAGGTGGCTATCACACTTGGGACAAGCCCATGGACATCTCTGATCATGGACCCAGTTGACAGTGCGACCATACCCCTGTCAGACCAGCAGTGGTGGGAGGAAGTGCTTTGAGGTCACTTCCTTCGAGTTTAAAGAGAGTTGCATGGGCTACGAGGAGGCAGGGAGTGGAGGGGGAAGAGGAAGGAGAGAGCCCGCACAGCCAGCAACTTAATCCACTGGAGCCCAGACAAGCCAGCCTCCAACACCCAAAAGGAATAGAAACAGTAGGAAATTATAACTTCTATATCAGTGTTCATGTTTATTTGTGTGTCAGCTAGTGATGTCGCGAACACAAAATTTTCGGTTCGCGAATGGCGAACGCGAACTTCCGCAAATGTTCGCGAACCGCCATAGACTTCAATGGGCAGGCGAATTTTAAAACACATAGGGACTCTTTCTGGCCACAATAGGGATGGATGAGTTGTTTCAAGGGGACTAACACCTGGACTGTGGCATGCCGGAGGGGGATCCATGGCAAAACTCCCATGGAAAATTACACAGTTAATGCAGAGTCTGGTTTTAATCCATAAAGGGCAGAAATCACCTAACATTCCTAAATCACAACGAATATGGATTGACACCTGACATATGACATATTGACACCTTGACATATGGATTGACACCTGTCCTCAGAGCCCCTGATGCACACGGACACAGAGCAGAATAGAGACTGGTCCCCTACATAGGGTCACTTGGCAGATATGGATTGACACCTGTCCTCAGAGACCATGATACACACTGACACAGAGCAGAATAGAGACTGTTCCCCCTACATAGGGTCACTTGGCAGATATGGATTGACACCTGTCCTCAGAGCCCCTGATACACACTGACACAGAGCAGAATAGGGACTGTTACCCCTACATAGGGTCACTTGGCAGATATGGCGTGGTCGTGGGAGGAGGAGGATGACTTTCACCTCTTCCCCTGTTAGATTCCCATTGTGCTGTGACATCACCCTTATACGCTGTGTAAAGCATACTTTTTAATTTATTTTGCAAATGCTGCATCCTTTCCGACTTGTAATTCGGTAACATTTCCGCCACTGTCTGCTTATACCGGGGGTCTAGTAGCGTGGACACCCAGCACAGGTCGTTCTCCTTCAGCCTTTTTATACGAGGGTCCCTCAACAGGCACGACAGCATGAAAGACCCCATTTGCACAAGGTTGGATGCCGAGCTACTCATTTCCCATTCCTCCTCCTCACACAGAACAGAATAGGGACTGTTCCCCCCTACACTTGGCAGATATGGATTGACACCTGTCCTAGGGATCCCTGATACACACTGACACAGAGCAGAATAGAGACTGTTCCTCCTACATAGGGTCACTTGGCAGATATGGATTGACACCTGTCCTCAGAGACCATGATACACACTGACACAGAGCAGAATAGAGACTGTTCCTCCTACATAGGGTCACTTGGCAGATATGGATTGACACCTGTCCTCAGAGACCATGATACACACTGACACAGAGCAGAATAGAGACTGTTCCTCCTACATAGGGTCACTTGGCAGATATGGATTGACACCTGTCCTCAGAGACCATGATACACACTGACACAGAGCAGAATAGAGACTGTTCCCCCTACATAGGGTCACTTGGCAGATATGGATTGACACTGTCCACAAGGACAAGCTGCAGGCTTCCTGGCAGGGCCCATACAAGGTGGTAGAACAGGTTTGTGATACCACCTTTGTGATCGGTGCGGTCACAGGCACGGGAGGCAAGCGCATGCTCCATGTGAACATGCTCAAGCCATACCACGAGCGCACGGAAGAGGTAACCGCGATCTGTGCACCTGCCACTGAAGATTATGATAATTTGCCACTCCCAGATCTCCTAGACCTAGAGGGCCAGAGCGGAGACCTGGGAGAAGTACAGTTAGGAGAACGGTTAGACCCCCAGGAGCGAACCCAGGTCCAAAGACTAATCCAGGACAAGGGGGCCACGTTTTCCAACCTACCTGGGTACAGTCCGTTAACCACTCACAAAGTTGAAACCCTAGACCAGACCCCCCTTCGCCAAACCGCCTATCGCATACCCGAAGCAGTTAAAGAAAATATTCAGAAAGAAATTGAGGAAATGATGCAGTTAGGGGATGATAGAACACTCTGACAGCCCCTGGGCCTCCCCGGTAGTACTAGTACCGAAACGGGACGGCACGACCCGTTTCTGTGTAGACTACCGGAGGCTAAACGATAAAACAACCTCAGACGCCTACCCTATGCCCCGGATAGACGAGCTCCTAGACAAAATGGCCAGAGGCCAGTACCTCACCACAATAGATCTGTGCAAGGGGTACTGGCAAATTCCATTAGCCGAGGACTCCATCCACAAGTCGGCATTTGTCACCTCGTTTGGCCTGTATCAGTTTAAGGCCATGCCATTCAGGATGAAGAATGCCCCGGCTAACTTTCAGAGGATGGTAGATCGGCTACTGGATGGGTTTCAGGAGTATGCCTGCGCCTACTTGGATGATATAGCCATTTTTAGCTGCTCCTGGCCCTAACACCTGACCCACATAGGAGCCGTAAAGCCCAGGAAGTGCCATATAGGAACGCATAAAAACCTCCCCAAGATAGTAGTATGGGCCCCAGAGTGTGAACAGGCCTTCCAACAGCTCAAGACGGCGCTCATTAAATCACCTGTACTTTCTGCTCCTGATCCAACTAAACGCTTTCTCGTCCATACAGACGCTTCTATGTTTGGATTGGGAGCAGTACTGAGCCAAGTCGGAGCAGATGGCGGCGAGCAACCCGGGGCTTATCTAAGCCGGAAACTTTTGCCCAGGGAAGTAGATACACTGCCATTGAAAAGGAG